AGAGAGAGACGAGAGAGGAGAACGAGAGAGAGAGACGAGAGGAGGAGAAGAACGAGAGAGAGAGATGAAGAGCTCGGGATCGACGAGAGACGTAGGTACTCCCTAGTTCGACGGAGGAGAGAGAGAGATGAGAGAGAGAGAGAGAGAGCATCACAAGGACTACCCTTGTCTGAAAACTTTCGCCACTCATCCAGACATTGCCCGACAAGCAAATCAACTCCTCTGGCTCTGAGACCAGGCCCATTGTTGGGCCGCGTTCTGTACCGCAGCACGCCATTCTCAAGTGGGGAGACTGGTGTGGCACATCCGCCCACATCAGTGGCACATCCGCCCACTTGTGACCTGTGGAACCGGCGACTGACTTTTTCCAGATAAATAAACCATGACCGGTAGCCGGGCGGCGCGAGCGCACCGCCGCCTGGCGGAGGTCCCAGCGGGCACCTTGACTCGTGATGGACGCACCCCTCCGGAATACACATTCGTCTCGGATCGCTATCAAGTCACGACCAGCGAGACGGAGAACGCCGGCCATCACGCGGCCGGCCCCTGCTATCGGACGCTGTTCCTCAGCGGCCGCTCTGACCCGCGAGCGCCCGGCCCAACACGCCGCCGGCTGTGGAGCGCCCCGACGCGCCGGCGCTGCCGCGGCCGCAGGTGGAACAGACGACTCGCGGGCGCCTGGCTAGCCAAGCGCCCCGTCTCGCCGCGTTGTCAGCCGGTGTAGCGATAATGAGACCGCTGCTCTGGGCAGCGGCATCATGAGGGCGGATGATGTTGCCCCTGCGTAGCATGTTCTGAGAAGATGCAGGCAAATCTGTTGTACTCCCAACGCAACCGACACCTATGACACCTCACCTGTGTAGATCGGCTCGATGCATCGGCAAGTTGCTTATTTCAGATTTTACGTGGCTGTCAGGACGTTTGGTTTACGTCTACAATGTAAACACGCTGCTTTTGACGATCGGTAAGGCAAATCGCATTGCCATTGACAAAAGGATTGTACTCTGCCATTTTTCCACGTCCCCTGACGCGTGTCGTTGAGGTGTGTGGAAGTGCCACTTGCAAATGACACAAAAGTTCGAGAACAGAAGATAAAACTGGATGTTTTTTCCATGCCGTGCCCTTGAACATTTACAGTTCACACGATAATGATTGGGTGTAAAGGACCCCATACAGCGATTATGTCGGCTGTTCAGGCATAGTCAGGCTTATCCCAACTCGCTTGCACGGTACCCAGCCTGTGGTGGAACGCGCAACCAGCCTGATCTGTCGACATTCCTGTGACATTCATTCATTCAAATCAGCATTCGATTTTACTTGATCCTGAGGAGGAGATATAACACGAACTCGTTTCTTTCAGGTGGAGGGAGGCCGTGTTTGGAGCCATTAATGATAACAAGGGCCTGGTGAAGCTTGCATTTTTCTAACCATCCCCTCACAGTATGTTCAAAGGCTGTTCACGATGAGATTAGGCAGCAAATTACTGAAGAGGTATATGTATTTTGTAATTCATATGGAGCGAAGTGTTGAGGTGATGCACAAATGCATCTTGCTACACATGTGACTTAGGTATGCGTTATACACACACACACACACACACACACACATATATATATATATATATATATATATATATATATACGTACATAAAATTATTGATTAAGGTAGAGTAAAAAAGGTGGATATAGCGAGGAAAAAGGGGTGGCCCTCATCCCAGTTTTGTTCCATCGCATCCCATTTATTGCATCCTAAGATATTTGCAAATCTACAGCAGAATTCTCTACTTTAACTCTTGTGCAGTTGTTCCAGTTTGCTTAAATCGCAATCTGTGGTGTATGTCTATGGATTTCTCAGTCATTCCATCGAGAGTAAAAATACAGATCTCTCATGTTACGTATGATGCTTTTAAAAATTAACAATTTGAGCCTGCAATTTTCATGGCTTGTTTAACACTTTAATGACAATATACACTGAGGACAGCACGTACACGACGCGTCCCTAAACACGAACGCACTTTTTAAAATTTTACAATGACCCACACGTGCTAATGTGATGCACGTAACGTGTTCAGCCGCAGAGCGCAGGTCGTGTAAGGCACCAGTCTGAATGTCCGAAAATTTTCGACAATACTTGCCACATAGCGCGTACTTGCCACGTTTTTAGTATCTTTATAGCACTTGTGAAGCTGGCATTTCGAGTGAACCTCTGTTATCGCTCTTATGGAGACATCAGGAAGCCATTGCGCTAGCTGCGAAAAGTCCCCAGTTTGTCATTTCCTGACTGCACACGCACAAAGCCTGCAAACAACCTCAGCTTTGCAGTCGTCTATATGGTCGATGGAGCATGCGGTTTTGGGGTTACACGTGCTTAACATACCATGAAAACGAGACTAGGATTTCCAAAGCACCACCTTTGATGACTGCGTAAGATCGCTAAAATGCACGGCATTGATTCTGCTTTAAATTATTCTTCATCTAATCAATCATGCTGCAATTTTGTGAATGCTAATGCTGAAAATCTGGAATCCTCTACGGCCAAGAAATTCAATATCATATTGTGAACTTCAAAAGCAATTAGCAAGGTGCCAGGAGGGTTTTTTTTCTCTCTCACACGCATTTCAATCTAGGCTTTCATATGTATCTCCTATTGAGACGAGACGAGTTTAATCATTAACGTATTAACTATACCGTCACGCAATGACTTGAGATTTGTTGGGAAAACAGTTATTTTTAACGAAAACCGCGATGAGCACACATCACTGCGAATCATGACCGCGTGTTGCAACACTGTATGGTCTTTCGATAATTTAGGGCTCGTAGCACATTGTTTACCAACATTCTACACCACGTCTAAATCTCCATTATTGACTCGCGAGCTGCGGGCGATTAGAGAATTAGCAAACAAGTCTGGTCTGCTACAAAGGGTCCTGTTTAAGAAACCTCAAACGGCTTAACTGGAAAGAGGCTGCCTAATACTTTGCTTAAACTGTTTGGCCTAGATCACGAGCCTCATTCACATACGACAGATAAGGCAAGTATCCAAGGAATGCAATTTCAATGTGAGACCGTATCAAGACCATCCTACCATGTCAAGAAGTCTACCGATTGCTTTGAGTCCCTGGCGATCAGTCATTGTCACTTTTTGGCTCTGATTTTGTATTGGTTTCTCCGCATACCGATCACAACACGTTATCACTGAGGTAATCGGTGGCACATCAACTTCGCCATTGTGATCGTTTCAGTGTGGTTGAATGGCCTATGGATTTCAAGTGATGAATTTAGTGGTACACGGCTGTAGCGGCATTCGGATCAGTGACCGCGCATAAGTGCATTGTTGCGTTGACACTGACGCAGACACCTAGCGTTCCAAGCTTTGAAACAAGTTGGCTCCACCTGTTACCCAATTGGCAAGTAGGTTTGTACCATGTATATTTAATATATTACATTATCTAATAAATTACAACAAGTATCGCATCGAAATACCAGGGAATTATTTTTACATGTGTGTAAGCATGGCCTCAGCATCAAGGTGTAATGAACGTACCCGCAAGATACGTAGCATGTTTCGGTTTTTTAATGCACATCATTATGACACTAAGGCTATATTTCTCGTGCATTTTCACAAAAGAGCTCAGTGCTAAGTCTCATGTAGTAATCTGCATCGTGTCATGTATCGTCGTGACCTGGTCACCGGTGGTGTCCGTCATCGAGTGGGAAAGGCACCACCTCAGCGGGGAGCTGACTCCCGTGGTAATGAGTAGCGCACCGACACCATTTGTCACGTGCTTTGAAACGAAACCGACGGATTACCATTGTACCGCTAACGGCGTTGCAAACAATGTCAGGACGAATCTGCGCCGGCTTTACGTAAGGTAGCTTTACGGTGTAAGGTAATTTCAACGACTCAAAAGCAAATAGCGTCACATCCAGAACTAAGCAGAGATTTCTCAGGCAAATACAGCCCGTGTTTTGTTTGTGCTATGGAGAATGCGGTCCACACC